TGGGGCGCAGCCACGACATTGAGCTTGAAAAGATAGGTATCGTTTCAGGACCGACATACAAGATACCACGCACCTCGAGGGATGTGTCGTAGGCGGCGGCGCCAAAGCCCTTGAACAACTCCTTCCTTGCTGGCACGGGGTCGGTGCAGCAGATCTGGTTGGGCGTCACGACGCCCTTGTTGATGAGCCCCTTGGCCAGGGCCTCCGCCATCTGGCCCGACCCCATGAACCCAATGCGGCGGTCGACAAGCGGCGGCATGCCTGGCGACCGTGCTGTTTGCCTGCGCCGCCGCACCGCCCGCCTGCGCTGATGCTGCCTGGGCTGTGGCGCCGTGCAGCGCTGCGTTCGATGCAGCGGATGCTGAAAGTACTTCTTCGTTATCAACGCCGCTACTCGCGTGTTCACAGCAGACTAGAGCGACAGTTTTGCAAATGAGATCTGCAGCAAGGATGTCAAAGCTGTAAATATTATGTGCACTTTCTGAAGTCGCGAACAATTGATCAGCGTGCTGACAACAAAGTAGGTTTATACTCAATATATAGGGCAGCTTTGGCACGAGTGCGTTGTCAAGTGACGAGCGCACATGGTACCAGGCAATCACGGCTTGACAGGCTGCTGTTTGCATCAGATATAATAGTAAAAATCATGGAGTCTCGGTCCTGTCAGAGCTGGGCAGGGCCTCTGCATTGTCAGTGATCTAAGAAGCAGCCCTGGGCGCCCGGAGGCCCCCCAACCCGGCAGCAGCGATGATGTCATCGGCAGCGCAGGCCGCGCAAGCCGGCCGTGGTGTGCGGCTCGGCGCCGACACGCTGTCGCGCCTGCTGGACGACCTGTGCAAGCCGGGCGCGCTGGAGCGGCGGCGCGAGGGCGAGCGCCACCTGCTGGAGTATGTGGAGGCGGAGGCGCGCGATCTGAGCGCCGATGCATTCTCAAAGTTCATGCAGGAGGTGTATGCGCGGCTGCAGGCTATGATCAAGAGGTGCGAGGGGGGGGGGCGAAGGGCGAGCTGCGCGCAGCGGTGGGCCAATGGCGTGCCTTGGCTCCCTTCAATGGTTCGGGAGTCTGATGCAGATGCTGTTGTGCCCGATATGGCGCTGTGGCCGGCCGGGCGGGCGATGACCTCGGCCCCGCCGCTGTCTCGGCTGCGGCGTGCTGCGATGGAGCTTGCGTTGCGCCGCGGCCCTCGCGGCCCGGCTGGGGCCGCCCGTGCGGGCCGCTGCCCACCCCGACCGCGATGCCACTCCCCTCAGCCCCGACGTGTTCAAGCGCCTGGGGGCTGTGCTGGCGATAGAGGAGCTTATTGCGATGAAGGCCATTGGGGATGACGCGGTGAGGGCTGCGCTGGTCAAAGCACCTGCAGTAGCAGCAGCGGCAGCAGCAGCGGCAGCAGCAGCGGCAGCAGCAGCGGCAGCAGCAGCAGTAGCAGCAGTAGCAGCAGCAAGAGCAGCAGTGGGACGGATAGCAGGGGCAGTGCAAATGTAGCAGGGGCAGGGGGCACCAGCGTCGGCAAGGGCAGCGACGCCTTGTGTGGTCGGGCGGGGCAGACAGCAGCAAGCCGTGGTCGTTGGAGCATCATCACGAGCAGATGGCGGGGGCAGGACATTTGGCTGCAGTGTTGTCAGATTTGAGCAGACTTCACGCGCCTGCCGCGACGGCGGCTGCGGGGGATGGCCTGAGGTGGCGTGTAGCCAGCAGCACAACCAATAGTCAGCAGACGGCCGCGGAAGACTGCAAGCGTCGCTCCCTGTAGCAGCCATCATGGCACAGGCCCGCGAACTGCAAGCCCACAGCAGCAGCAGGCCGCCCTGCAGCTGCCGCCGCAGTGCTGGCTGCACAGCTGGTGGTCGCATCGCTGCAGCAGCGCACGCAAAGCTGCGCCTCGAAGCGGCAGGCAGATACTTGTATGCTGCCTGGTTGGCTTGACACGCAGCCGCGTCAGTCCGTGACCTACCACCCAGCACTCCTTCCCTCCTCTCGCTTCCTTGAACCATCTTTGATGCGTTGCATGCACCTTCGTCGCCCCAGCCTGTCCTTGATCAGCCCGATGACCAGTCAAAGGCACCCCACACGCCCACCTCCAACCCACCCGCCATCGCGCCGCCCCGCCGTCTGGGGCACTCGACACCCCCCCCCCCTGCAGGCGCGCACAGCCAACTTCAGCTCTATGCTGCGGCGCCTGTTTGAGGACAGCCAGGACCTGGTGCTACTCGAGGTGGCGGCCACGGCCCTGGGCCACCTCGTGCGCAGCGGGGGGCCCATGATGGCGGACGTGGTGGAGCGGCAGGTGGGGAGACATTGGGGTTCAGGGTGTGAAGTTACTGGGCTGTGATCTGATCTGGTTGAGAAGCTTATTGGCGGCTGGCTGTTCCGAAACTCTTGAGCAGCGGGACGCAGGGCCGGCGGGCGCTGCAGGCGCGGTGATGAGCAGGAGTTGGGGCAGCGGCGGAGCGGGTGGCGCACGTGCAGGCGGGGCGCAGGGCGACCGCCGCACACACGCGC